AGAAAGAAAGACAGAGACAGGTTTATGGGGTCTGGAACATGTTCTTAGAGCAGTCAGAGTGTTGAAAGCTGAAATTTATTTCTGCAGGCAGGGAGCATTTAACATGAGATCCTCATCTCCAAGGCAATGAATGGAGGAGACCTGAAGAGGTAATGCAAAGTGGCAGACGCGGCCACACCCTAGACTGGCTCAGGTTCCTACAAGTACGCCTACCCTTCCTCTGGTTCAAGGGAAGAAAGCTGCGGGAAGCCACAAGTACCTAAGGCCACAGAGCAGGAACGTTTCCAGTTCCCGGGAGCACATGCCAACACAAGCTTTCCTATAAAGATGACTGTGTAGCAGAAGCTCAGGCTGGGCAAAGCCGGACACCCCCCGCCCCCCTTTACACTTTTGCCCATCCGTGGCCCTCGCCATCATCGAGAGCACTGGGACCAGCTTTATCCTCGGCAGCCCTGGAGAAGCTTTGGGGGAGACCAGTGTATCCACGAGCGCGTGTGTGCGTGAGGAGGAGAGCAAAGACGTGATTACTTCAGAATTTATTTAAGGGCCGGTGGAAACCACTGCAGCAGCTTCCAGGGGAAGCCCTTGTTCCAGAGGAAGAGGAGGTGGAGGCTGCCAAGGAGGAGGAGGGGAGGAGACACAGAAGGAGGAGTAGCAGCCGCTTGCATGAGGCAAGGATGCTATAGCATCCTCACCCATTCTCAGCAGGTTGGTTCTGTCGGCCAACTGATGCAAGCAGAGGAGTTGCAGAGCGGTTGGGAGGGGAAAATTGGTGCCCTCTCAGGGGATAGGGGTGAGGGGCAGTCCGCGGAGGGAGGAGGGAGGTGTGTGTGTGTGTGTGTGTGTGTGTGTGTGTGTGTGCTTCCCTTCCCAGGAAATAAACGTCTCTAAGTGAAAGGATACGCGCTAGGACAGAAGTAGGCTGGGTGTCCAGAGAAGACCTGTCCTGCTTCTAGCATCCCTGGGGACTCACTTCCTTTTAACCATCAAACTCCCAGCAATTACCATAAACTCCACAGTGACTCCGGGTGGGGTACTGGGTGGAGAATTTCCCTTCCAGAGAGGTACCTTCCCACACTTCACCCCGAAGTTCGCGTTTGAAGGGATGCTTCTTCACCCGCTGCGTGGCCCGGGAGACCGCGGGGAGCAGTTGTGCTAGGTTAAGTTTCTGAAAGTCAGATCCAGTCCCGGATTACCAGCTCTCCGCCCCGGGGGCTCCGCTGCACGCTCGAGCTGCTGCTGCTGCTGCTGCTGGGCGGCAAAGGGGCCGCGGCTGCTTTAAGAACCGCCTCCCCCTCTCTTCCCTTTGACAATGGTCTGAACCGAGCTCTGCTTCCCAAAGCAAAATTTGTAATATGCCATTTTTCCGATGGACCCTTCTCCTTTTGGCTGCTGACGGAGCCACGGGAAGATGCCGAGTGGCTGCCACGCTACGGAGCCGGGGCACGTTCCAGGAGAACGCTGGGGCTCTCGAGTGTCTAAGCAGCCTTTCTCCTCCCGTTGCTAGGGAAATGGTCCAGGACTGCTGGGTGTGAGCCTCACCTCTCCTCCAGCCGAGACTGCGGTTGTCAGTGATCCATTGAAGAAACAGGACCTGAAATAAGAGACATTAGGTACAGAAACTGTATTCGAGTTGCATGGTTTCTTTTCCGCTTCATTTTTTTCCCCCATTTTTGACCACCTCCCCAGCCCCACCCCGCCCCCAGGGAAGAGGAGATGCAAAGTCCTCCTGTGGGTTTCTGTTAGTTACCTTTGCTTTCCACCCATCTTCCCCATCCCCGATGTCTCTGCCTCCTGCCTAGCTGGCTCTCTCCTGGGGCAGATGAACAATTTTAGTGTGGAAATTATGAAGTCAACTTCTTTCAGGGTGGTGGGGGTGTGGCTGAGCAGTAACTTGTCCAGCAGTGTGGGGTGAGCTCTCTGTTTGGCCATCTGAACAGGCACGAGGGTATGGAAAGTGAAAACGCTTCCATTAGAGGTGGTAGGAATATTTCCTGAGGACAGGGGATTTCAAAGAGTTAAAGAGGAGGAGGAATATTCGTGTAATGTAATCAGACAATGGCTAGGCTTTCTTTTACTGAATTACTCCTTTCGGGTTAACAGAGATGGAGCTGGGAGGGTTCTGAAGACTAAACCTTTGCCGAAGAAACTTATTACAGAGAACGACAGCTTCTTTGCCGGTGGTCGTGTATGAATTCTAGCGATACAATTAAATGAAGTTAGTGACCTACAGAAATAAAAGTCTTTTGGAATATTTTTGTCTGACTAGGTATAGCTTGTAAGAACATATAGTATTAAGGAACACACTAGATCTCAAAATCCTTGCTGAATGACTCCACTGGGCATTCAAAACTTTTATTTTGGAATCTGAGAGATTTAGAAGACAGTCAAGGTTATATGCTGACAGCATGGGAGTTGGTTTTCTTGGTATAAAATTATTCGGGCTAAATTTAAGCACTGAGATAATTAAACCAATCAGGGTTATTATTTTTTTCTCTCTCTTAAAAATAAAATTTGCATTGCCTGAAACTGGGTCCTGGAATCTTCAGGAGTCTAGTGATCAAGTCGTCTATATCTAGATGAAGCTAATGAAATTTTATTTCACATTGACTTGAGGAGGGATGATGAAAATACCTCAGCAAACTGTGTTTTGGCTTGTTTCTCAGTGATGGTGTACTGTTAGCATTTTTAGTTCCAAAAATGACTCTAAAAGCAAAATACGATATATCTGGGTGCAATATACAAGATGCTGGATGACCATATATTTCTGTATCGTGTTCCAGATATTCATCCTACAAAATATTCTTCATAGATTTTTTTAATTATTCTAGTTCACTCAAGCTGTGCAGCTGTGCATTTAGGAACTGTTACACTATGCTTTGAGGGACATGCAATTATTTTGCAGCTTATACCAGAATCTGAGGTCTAAGGTAATAATTAACCCAACCACTAAAAGTAGCTTTGGTATTTGTAGAAAAAAAATTTTAATTTTGGAGGACTCTAGATTTGCTCATTTAGATTGATTTTAAAGAAAGTAGCATGTATCCATATTATTTTCTAATTAATTTTGCATAGTTGAAATTTTATGAATTTAATTTGGAGAGTTCAGAAGTATCTGCTAGATTTACAGCTATAGGTCTAGTAGCAGGTGTTTTAATGTACAATATAATTTCTGTAAGGATAAATGGTGACCAGTTTGTAATAGAGAACATGTCTGGGTTTTTTATAATAATACTTTATATATTTCACTATGTGTCTGTCAGGATGCATAAAGTGGGAATTTTATAAACAAAATTTTATTGTGTTTATATTATAAAGAAATTTTATACACTTTAAAAACTGATTATCATTCTTGCTTTGGGGAAGGGAACATGAAGTTTTGAAAGGCAAACCAACTTGCTCCATTTCACATGCTTCAGGAGTGGGATGGAACTGAGTCACTCCAAGTGTAGAATGCATAGATTGTCTAAGTGTCTCATCATAGCATCTTTTGGCTGACCAAATCCATGACCACCTTTTCCACGGATCTGAAAATCTCAAGCTTGTGACTGTCCAGTGTCTCCTGGTAATATTAAGAATTTGAACACATGCACGAAATAGATGCTTGGAGTATTGAAGGCAGTTATACTCTCCTTGGAATTTAAAGTTGTTAGTAATAGCTTTCCTCTGCTAAGGGTATGATTTAAAATGCAGATTGATGAGCATTTAGATAACTATATTTCAAGGCACAATTTGTTCCGGTACTTTGTCTTAACGTTCAATGTCAAAAATAAACACGTAGGCTCATGGTCACGCCTTTCAGAACATCGCAGTTGTTCCACATGTGAATGTCATGCATGGCATGTGAACTAATCCTTTGAAGTAAGCCAGTGTGCTGAAAAGTTCTTGTTTTATTTTCAATTAGTGTAAAAAGAATTTATAGCAGTTAAAGGGGGTGATTTTTCAATGTTGGGATAGTCCATGAATGAAAATCAAAGTGGTAAAAGCATAAAGTATGCATTAAATAGCAAATGGCAGTAGTGATTGTGAAAGCCTGTGCAGGTGTACATGTAAAGACATTCTATAGACCTGCTCTGCAATGTACTTGAGGGAAAATCTGAAATAAATAAGTCAAGTTTCTGTCTTCAGATAGATCAGCGTTTTGAGGGATGGGGACAGTTTCAAAGTATTTTGAATTATTTTAGAAATTCCCAATCAATTCTTTCTTTGCTTTACCTAGAATACTTGTCATAAAATGAGTTACTTTCATTTTTTTAAAGTTTTGGTCAGTTTCCAATGGGTCATGACCAAATAGTTCACAGATAATTAAGTTTTGCTCCTTAACAACCAAATTTACATGAAGAAACATATAAAAAGTAATTAAATATTGAACCATTAAATCTTGACATTTTATTTCCAAATATCACAAGAAATAGTTTCCCTAAGGATATATATGTGGACAGAAAAAAATGAATTGACCTTTCATTATAAAGTCATGAGAAAACTTTGAGACACACAATAAAACTGGGCTTATCTCATATCAGGCTTTCTGCAAAACCAGACTTTCTAATATCTTCTTGCCCTCACACAACAACTGAAATTGAGATGAGTTAGACATGTAAATACACACACACACACACACACACACACACACGCACGCACGCACACGCACACACATATGCACGCACTTACACGCACAAGAGAGACAGAGACAGAGACACAGAGAAAATGGGAGAGAGGGAGAAAGAGAGAGACAGAGACACAGAGAGACAGAGAAAAAGGGAGAGAGGGAGAAAGAGACAGAGAAAGAGACACAGACACAGAGAGAGACAGAGACGGAGAGAGAGAGAGAAAGACAGACAGAGAAAGAGACAGACAGAGAAAGAGAGACAGGCAGAGAAAGAGAGACAGAGACAGAGAGACAAAAAGAGTATGAAAAGGAAAATGAAACAGTTTCTGATTTTTAAAGATACCACATGTGACAGGACAATGTTACATGTCAACATCTGTATTGTCTATTTTAAATCAAATTAATAAATAATTTCAAAAAGAATCAGTCCAATCCTTCCGTGACTAAGAGTTTGTGATTAGCAGCTGAGATATGAAGTGACTGAATGTGGTAATATAATTTACTGCAATCTGTTTTGTGGAATACTTGAAAGAGAGCTAGTTTGTAATTGTCTGGATGAAACCAGACAATGGATCTAAGAGGAATGCTAAGTGTAATTAGCAGTATAATAATCAAGACAAATTCATGTATCTCAAATTAACTCTTAGAGTTTACGTCTAATTCAATCTGAATCATTTATCAAGTCTGTGCACAGTTCTGAAAGGCAGAAGATGAAAATAAATTAAAAAAAACACATCAGAAGGATTAGTTGTGAGGAAATCTGTTGAGGAAGTAAGAAAATACCGTATATTACCTAAAATAGCCAATTATTTGGGGTTTTTTTGATTAAAACAGTGAATGTTAGGTCACTTATCTGCCCATCATTAAAAAATTGTATAGTTTCTACTCATTGAAGCACAAGATTGTATTGTCTGTTGACGGATAAGGTATTGTTATGTTCATGATAAGACATTTTTTTTAGCTTGCAGAGGTGGAAAAGAATGGGATGAGTGGTTATTCAAATGATGTGTTTCTGTAAATCAAATTATGAGTGATAAATTATGCAAAAGAAAATGGAAACAGGTTAAGTACGGTACATAAGACATCTATCGATTCCCATGACAAGTGAAAGCATGTGGGTTGCAAAGAGGAAAGAGATTGTACTTCACTGAGGTCCACACCTTCCTCTGGATTGGACTGGAGGCAGGAGTTTGGGAAAAGAGATCAATGACCTGTGAAGGCTTTAGTGAGATAGAAGCTGGGAGGGGGGCATGGTTGAAAATAATTTGTTTACTAAAAGTTCCCCTTTCTGTTCTTTAAGCAATGATGTGTGAAGTGATGCCCACGATTAATGAGGACACCCCAATGAGCCAACGGGGGTCCCAAAGCAGTGGCTCCGACTCGGACTCCCATTTTGAGCAACTGATGGTCAATATGCTGGATGAAAGGGATCGTCTACTAGATACACTTCGAGAGACCCAAGAAAGCCTCTCACTCGCCCAGCAAAGACTCCAGGACGTCATCTATGACAGAGATTCCCTCCAGAGACAGCTGAATTCAGCCCTACCTCAGGTATGCTTCAGTAACACAGGTTTTCCTTTTCAAAATGGAAAATAGAAGTCTCTTAATAACATTTACTTCGTGTTCATTTCCATAACTACTTTTCCGCTGAATATATAATATGTGCTTTGGATTAAAATTAATAATAAATTAGTAATGTATATCAAAATTTGCTTTACACAAAGTTATAGACTACTGGTGTGCACACGTTGCGCGCGCGCGTGTGTGTGTGTGTGTGTGTGTGTGTGTGTGTGTGTAGAATGAAAGAATTAGTGACTGCTGCCTGGGCTTTTTTTCATTGAAAATCTCAATTCTATGTTTTGGTGGACATAGAAAAACACTTCATCAGCTATAATGTAAGGCTAATAGATAATCTTGTCCTTGTAAACACAGTCATGACTGTTGAATATATTTATTTTCAGTTTTCATCTGTGTGGTCTGTCTGTTTTGGAAATGGTAGAAATCTGAGAATTCACTCTATAATACATTTAATTTGCCTGTCTTCAAAAATACCCAGTACTTGATTAACTTAAAAAAAATCATACATTATCTTTTCTTAAAAGTACTCAGAGCATCTCAGTCCCTTCTCAGGTTCCCATCCCACATACCTTCCCTTCTACTGCCCACCCCCAGTTTACCCAGGAGATCTTAACTATTTTCCCTTCCTGTGGTGGTCCATGCCTGTCCCTCTTAGGGTCCTTCTTTTTACCTAGCTTCACTGGGGTTGTAGATTGTAGCCTGGTTGTCCTTTGTTTTGTGTCCAATATCATGTGGGTGACAGTTATGTGGCTAGATTTGTTTGACGGAGAGCCTGGCAATGGGACCAGGACTTATCCTGGGTGCATGAAATGGCTTTTTGGAACATTCCCCAGGGTGGGATACCTTGTCAGCCTTGACACAGGGGGGAGGGGCTTGGTCCTGCCTCAACTTAGTTTGCCAAACTTTGTTGATTCCCAAGGGAGGCCTTACCCTCTCTGAGGATTGGATAGAGGATGGGATGGGGATAAGTGGGGGGCGGGGGGGGGGGGGGAGGGGCCCTCTCTGAGGATTAGATAGAGGGTGGGATGGGGATAATAGGGGGAGGAAGGAGAAGAGGAGGGAGGAGGAACTGGGATTGATATGTAAAATGAAAAAAAAACTTAAAGAAAAAAGTAATCAAAGTAGTTTCTTCTTACTTTTAAAACATTTTGGAAATTGCCAACCTTGGTGTTTCACATCTGTAATCCCAGCACTTGGAGAGAGAGGATCACGTGTTCAAGGCCAGCCTAGACTATGTCACAAAACTCTTTCAGAAATTAAAACAGAATAAATAAATAAAAGAAGGAAATTAGCAAAAGCCAAACTGCAGAGGGCTCTTTCAAACTAATGTTGTTAGTTATTTTTACATCTGTTCCTGTTAATTTTTAATATCACAGAAATAAAAAATAATGATTTCAAGTATATTTGTTTACAGAGTTAATGGTAAGGATCAGTAACTGATTGGTGAGTTTTGTGATCACACTGCTTGTTTGTAGGAAAAAAATGGACAGAATATGAATGACTATTTGTTTGTTTTGTTTTGTTTTTGAGACAAGGTTTCTCTGTGTAGCCCTGGTTGTCCTAGAACTCACTCTGTAGACCACACTGGCCTTGAACTCACAGAGATCTGCCTGCCTTTGCTTCCCCAGCGCTGGGATTAAAGGTATGTGCCACCAACGCTTGACTAACATTTAAAATAATTTTCCACGATAAATTAAAATTTTGTTTTAAATACTGTTTTTGTTTTTACTAAAAAATAGAATAGCAAATTTTGAAGTGATATCTTGTAACAAGTATCCTTCTACTATATAAAGTGTATAAATCTCTGAAGCCACCTATGTTATTAACCTTCTACGTCACGCTGAGGTAGTTATCACTCTCAGAATGGGTCTGATCACACACTCTCTTACCCAATAGGTAGTCGCCAACCCCTATAAATGATGCCTGTTCTAGACCTACACAAGATCAGTCAGTTTGTAATGGGAAGTAAGCTTTTAAGTGACTCTCACATGTTGAAAACACCAGTTGATTTCAGCACCCAGAATATGTTGACAAATTCTCCAAAGCATCTATCCATGTTTCACCTGGAATGATTTCTTTTGTTGTTGTTGTTGTTGTTTAAAGAGATTTCAGTACTGACAATGTTCTTCACGAGGCGATTTTTCAAACTATCACTTTTCTCACTCTTGTAGAAGACGGCTTCAGTTGGTCACAAGTGTTTGTAAAGCAATATCCTACAGAAAATCACACCTTCCCTACCTGTGTCACACAAGATGACTGTTTGGCTTTCCTGATACTGTTTCATTAAAGAGGGCCATTGTACTTTCTGTATATATGGGGAACAAGAGTGAAAAAAGTGAAAAAGCATTTCTAGCTATTCTAGATAACTAAATTATTGAGATTATAATGTCAAATAATTTATATTTTATTTTTTATTATATTAATGTGCAACTTGTTATGACAACTTTTTTTTAGTCTAGTTGTACGTTTCTTTTTAATGTGTACATGTGTGCATATGAGTGCGTGTGTGTGTGTGTGTGTGTGTGTGTGTGTGTGTGTGTGTGTAGCTCCAAGTGTACAAGCCCAAGATGGTCTTTGGAAGCTTCGCTCTACTGCTTTCCATCTTATTTGTCGAGGTATATTCTCTCTCACTTGAACCTAGTGCTAGCCTAGGTGGCTAGTCTGGCTTGCTGGCTAGTTTCAAGCAACCCTGTTCTTCCTTTCTAAACATGGGAGTTATAGACAGGATGCCATAGAGCATAAAACTCACGTTTCCAGTTCACATGTTTGCTGCTTCTCTGCGAAACATTTAACTGCTGAACAATCTCCTCAGTCCTGGGCTGGTTGACTTGTGCAGTTCAGAATTTTGTGCCTGTATAGAATACATATATTTAAGCACACTAATACATTTCAAAGGAGAATAATATAAATATTTCTACTTCATGGAAAAATTGAAGTCTATGGTCTCATCATTAAAAGATCTAGTTTTGCTATAGACTTTGAATAAAATGCCAATGTTCAGGATATATTTGTTAGGAATTGTAAGTAGGGATTGTGATTGTAAACTATTACATTGTTATAGCCATATTTTTATATTATTTAACATTTTAAAAATATTGATCTGCATATTACTACTATTCACACCAGAAGTCTACAGTTCTTAAACATAGTGATGGCACTCTTATTTTTCTAATATGAATATTTGATAGCCCAGCTTGTATTATTAGGAGTGTATATTTCATGCAAGTAGTAGATTGCTGCTCTTTAATTGGTATGTTTGAATTTTTGTGGATATTTGAAAGCAATGTATTGTTGGTAATATTCACATTTTACCCCGAAGTGCAGGGAGAAAGTGGCTGCCATAAATATGAGGTTTGAGGCAGAAATAAAACATATAAAACTGAAAACTACTATAGTAACATAAAAATGAAATTATTTCAGCAAGCAGAATTGAAAGCAGACACATATTTTATGATATAGGTATTCTAAATTGACTGTACAAGGCTTTGGGGCACAGTAGGAATTGGGGTTTAGCTTTAGTTACTCCATCTCGTTTTATCTCTCGGGGAGAAATTTAGCAATATTTCAACAATCTTAACTATGTAAATATCTGCCTTAAAGTGTATTCCATTGCTCTGTAGAGTGTATCAGTGTTTAAAAGAGCTGATAATTTCACATCATTCCACATTCCACCTTGATGTTTCCAGCAATACTTCCATGTACCTGCCTTTCTAATGTACAGCTCTAATTTACTAGTCCATAAAAACTCCCACTAAAAACCTTCCACTCTCAATCATCCTTTACCTTCTACTCCAGTTAATTCTGATCTAGTTTCCTATACAAAACTTAAGCATCCTTATAGAGGACTCTTGGTCCCTCATCTCTAATCTCCATCATTGGGGAGCCATATTGCTTTTCCTCTTAAATAAGGCTCAGATCTCTCCTTTCTTTTCTGCACCTGGCCCCACATTTCTCTGCCATGTCCCCTAAGATATCCCATTTGATAAATGTTTCATATTGTATCCTCAAAAAAATCCTGAACTACCTCTATGTCAGCAACAAACTTATCTTTCCAGTGCTTTTCTTTTATGCTGTCTTAGTGTTACTATTGCTGTGATGAAACACCATGACCAAAAGCAACATGTGTAGAAAAGTGTTTATTTCCTTCATAGCTCAGTGTAACAGTTCATCATCAAAAGCAGTGAAGTCTAACTACGACTTTGTCCCCTGCCTGAATCCGCTCTGAATTCTAAGTGCATTTCCTGTTTTACTTTTTTTTTTTTTTTGGTCATTTTTTTTTCCGTATGGAAAATGAGTTACCTCTGTGTCCCCTCCTTCCTAACTTAAGCTTCAAGACATCAGAAATACATCTTAACCTTTAACACCTCTCCAGACTCTCCAAGAGTTGATATATTAGTTATCTGTTTCTAAAATAGTTCTTGGTAACAAACACTACAATATTTCAGTAGAATTCAAACCTATGGATTTGTGGAGTTTGGCTGATCTGGTCTTGGACTGGCCACTCTTGAATGGGTTAACTCACGCTACAAAAGTATTTCGTTAGCTGTGTACCACCTCTTTACTGACTGTTTCTAGTTGGCTTTGATTGTGTAACTCATTTCTGTGCTTGTCAAATCCTAGGATAGGCTGGTGCCCCAGGTTCTCCTGCTCATGGTTCAGGAGGAAAAAACAGAGCAGAAAGTGCCTTTTAAGATTCTGTTTCATATTGCCCTTTAGTCAGGGCCAAAGACTCGGTGGAAAACAATAGCAAATGGCATGAACAAAGAAAGGGAGGGCTGGACCTTTAGAGAAAGAGCATAATTGGTCTACCCTAAGTATAATCAAGCATCATCCGGGACATTGTCAAGCTAGGGGAAATCATTATGAAAATAATGTACTGGTATTTAAGGATTTGAAATAGAATTGTGCAGCTATCAAACTACAAAAGACAGTATAAATAGGAGAACACCACAGAGAAAGAATGGTCATAACTA